CTTAAGCTAACAGTAGAAATGAAAATATCACACTGATAAATAATTTGAGTAACAACCGCATGATGATAATCGATTTAATATTCATTAAACTGATATCGGTATAAAATCAATTTTTTTTTATTAGTGCAACTATTTTGCAAAGTTTTTATTGAATTTATTTATTTTTATTTGCTGTATTTTAAGAACCTTTTAACCAAATGATTATAATTCTCTAATGGTTCACAGGGACGTCTCACGGTAGCAGCTGCACGACTGACACATGTGACACTTACCTGACATGTTTAAATGGAATGTGTCAGTGCACAAGTACTCATTACCATGACGATACTTTCAAATCTTGCAATCGTAGTAAGTTTTCTAGTATTGCGGTCAAGACACAAATCATGTCCTTTAATCGATCTTGTGATAGGTGTGTCTAAAGCAGTTGATACAAAAAAGACATTTTCATTTCTTTAAATATAATCTTAACCTGACATATTAAACTATCTCGCTTAGGTTAGAGTTAGGTAAGAAAAAAAACTACATATCCTTGAATGGATGAAGTCAAAGTATAACTTTGGTTTAATACAGCTCAAAACTTTCTTTCAATTACTTTCTTGGTGACGAATGACATAAAAAAATCTTTATTTTATTTTTGATAGCAAACAGCTCACGATGAAGCAAAGGATCTTCATGCAAACAAAACTCAAAAAACATTTTATTTAATAACGACTTTATCTATATGAGATTGGTAGTACAGATTTTACATTTAATGGAGATAGAAGAAACACCATCTATAATTATTTTCTAGGAAAGTCCTACGGCAGCTTTTGTACAAGCAGCGAACCATGTGAAACTTACATGACATGCGTCAGTGGCATCTGTAATTGTTCCAGTACTTCTTATTACCATGACTCTACAACAAAGACTTGCAACGCAAGTGAGCTTTAACCAATTTGTGCTAACTGTCCCGAATTTGTTTACATTTAATTTAACATTTCGTGTATCCTCTTAACTTCATTTGAATTGTAAGTTGCTTTCAACAGGTTATATGATGTGGGTTTTTAAGCTTGCTACATTTTATCTTAAATTGCGTCCACTATATAGCTTTAAGTGTTCTTCTAAGTAATTCATTTTAACTGTTTTTCATGTTAGCTAGTGCACAATATAACTAAACAGATGTCTGAACATAGTGAATGTATATATGTCTTATTTACTGATCCATATGTGGCTCTACAAACATTATGAATATCATACTAGGCATTGATTTTATTAGTTTAAAAAATAGGCTAATCTATATTCGTCCCAATTATAGTTCAATATACATTGGGCTTTATATCAGATTTTATAATTTTGCCTTCAGACTGAAAAGAAATCTTAGCATTACATATAATTTTGTATCAGATTCATTTGGATATGTGTATTATTTGTCACTAGATGACGGAGATAGAAGTAAAGGTAATATGTAATTTTATGATAAATAAACAAAAAAACTAACGCTTGGTTAAAAGTTAGGGATAAAGGAGCATGCATACGATCACACCAGGCATGCAAAATGTGAGTCAAAATAGATGTACATATGGCTTGAATTATTATAGTGTAAAGCATGGGGAAGTTCAGTGCGGCTAGATAACATGTAAACAAAAAGCGTTTTTTTTTCTCTGTGAAGTTACAGCTGCAAAATCTGAAATAGAGAAACTAAAAGAGCTCTTTGCAGAAACTGTGCCAATCTGTCAATACCGTAAGGTATGAAGAAGTACAACGTGTTTATCGAAAGAATCGATAGAACGGATATAATAGAGAAACACTTCGAAATAAACATCCGCACATAGAAGTGGTATTGGCTCCTGTCATTTTAATCACTGTATTAGTGAGCAATGCAAACCAGATGTAGCAACTGAAATCAACATATCAATCAAATCAAGCGGATCTTCTCTAATACACTAGATAAATCGTCATGACATATTTTTGGAAGTGCTCCTGCCACGAGGCTGTCAAATGCGAAATCCTAAAAATCAAGAGTAGATGATGCATTACTCTATGAAGAGGACAGTCATAAGCTTAATGTGGCAGGATAGCACCATTTAAGCACCATTTAAGTGTTGAAAACCAGTCCTTGAGACCATTTAATCTGCCTTAAAAGTTTTAATTTGATTTTTGATATATTGGATGTGTCTACTGTCCCAAAACATTGTCGCTCTATATTTTGTATCAGGGTTGTGGGTGCTGAAAAGAAAAATCTTACGGAATGGTCATTAACTCATTAAAGATCTTAATATCAATGTTTATCTAAATATTTTCATTGTAAATCATTTGGAAAATAATGGCTTAATTTGATGCTGTCACAAATTTGGTGAGAGTGGTCTATCATTTACTAAATAGGGAGTAATAAGGCGAGAGACTGCAATCAGATTAGTACAAAATAAAATGATTAAAACAGAGTAGGGTTAAACCTGAAAAAATACACGCAACAAAACAGCGAACTTGTCGGCAGAAAGCCTTCGTCAGCGAACAAAACAACAGAAAAAACGGTATACAAATAAGAAATAGCACTTAGCTAGAAAGTATTATCTGTTGGCAGCAATAGAATTGTGGCAGAAGGAAAATGAGTGAGAGTTTAAATAAGCAGCGGCGAAAAAAAGGGGATAGAAAAAAGTTCACTGTGATAGGTCAGAACGTGGAGGGGCGGAACTAGGGTCAAGCTGTGAACAGAGACATAACATTAATCCCATCTGGCGTCAAAGTGCCGTAAGTCAGGGTAAGTCTGTTCCAAATTGACCCGGCTGGCGGTGTTCGTGCTAGCCACAATCGCACTTATTGAAAAGTCCGCCTTGCCCTGGTGGTCACTACTATTGAAGTGTTTGGAGACGGGACACTGTTTATCTTGTGTAATGTTTCGGAGGTGTTCGGTACACCTGTCAGAGAGACGGCGTCCAGTCTCCCCTATGTATGTCATCTGACAGCGGGTGCAGACAATGGCGTAGATAACGTTGCGGCTTGTACAGAGGAAACCGTCGCGTATCTGAAAACTGCCCTTGGGGAAACGTATGCGTTCAGTCTGGACGACAAAAGGGCACGTGTTGCAACGACTGCGTCCACACGGCTTGGTCCCAAAGTGGGAGGGGGGAGCATTGATACGACTGCGTACAAGGAGGTCTCTCAGATTTTTATCCCGTCTGAAAACAATGAGAGGTGGGGAAGAGAAAATTTCTCGTGTGTCGGTGTCTGCGAGTAGTATAGATCGATGTTTTTAACACCTTTAGCAATCAGACTGTGAGGGTGATAAGTTAAAATGAGTTTTGTCCTGTCAACCTTGTCGCTCAGACGTGGTCTGAATGCATCAGCACGTGTAATATTCTTAACCCTTTGGAGGGCTGATGAAAGTACTGTCTCCGGGTAAGACCTACACCGGAAAAAGTCTATCATTTCAAGTGCCCTGTTTACTCTGACGACAGGACCAAAGTCTATCATTTCAAGTGCCCTGTTTACTCTGACGACAGGACCAAACTTCAATCACTTGAGAAGAAAATGGCATTTCAGCGTATGCATATCCTTATACACATCCATAAGCGACTCATCGCCGATCTCAGTGCCGCCATTTACCAACTTGAAGGTCGACTCCTTTCTAAGACCTCTAATAACCGCCTATTGTATGACATTATTAGAACTATTATTCACCAACTTAATCGGGAACTATACCGCTTCCTTTCTACCAACAAAAAGAAAAAACTCGACAATCTTAGGCCCACTAACAACTCTACACCACACCCAACTGTCACAACTTAGTCGTGTGCATCTATTGCTGCTCACGGATACTACTTACCAGCTAAGTGCTATTTCTTATTTTTATACCGTTTTTTCTGTTGTTTTGTTCGCTGACGAAGGCTTTCTGCCGACACGTTCGCTGTTGTGTTGCGTTTATTTTTTCAGGTTTAACCCTACTCTGTTTTACACATTTTATTATCTCCCTTGTGGCTACATTCCATTTAATAGAATAATAGGATGCTTAGGTCCAACTGAAAAAGCAGCGTAGTCGATAAATAAATACGTATACATCTTCATATTTTCATACTTTTATGAGGAATTTCCAACTTTAAATTCAATTTTCTCAAAAATCTCAAAACCTGACATCAATGTTATTTTAGCATTATATCTAAGAATAATACTTTCTCCAAAGTTAGGAGATCGTCTGCTATTTTAAATGTCAACAAGGATAAACATAGATGGTACTGATATTTGAGAATAAATGCTCCAGATTGGTTTTCTTCGCTATCATCTGTCCGAGTTAGTGTAGTGTCAAGTTTAAAACTACGTACTACCAGAATGTTATCGAATAATCGTCTCTGTGATTAATGACTGGCTAGTGTTTGGTCAATACAACAGCTGGAAGAAACTAAGATGGGTGTACAGATGAAATAAGAAGTAAGTGGGTAAGGGGGGGGGGTTAGGTTACTTTATAAGCAGCCGAACACTGGTCTCAAGTGTAGACCCTTGACACCAGGTTATCTCCGTCACAGCAGTGGTCACTGAGCTACTGGATGGGCAACGGTGAGTGCACTCCATGTTACTTTATAAGCAGCCGAACACTGGTCGCAAGTGTAGACCCTTGACACCAGGTTATCTCCGTCACAGCAGTCGTCACTGAGCTACTGGATGGGCAACGGTGAGTGCACTCCATGTTTCGTTTCGTTCCTGTAGTTTTGTTCTTTACGTTTATAATAAGTCTTATTTTTAACGTGGTTATTTGTTAACACTTTATCATTGTGATTCGGCGCCAATTCAAATGATCAAATTCCATTCAAATCTGCGCTAATATTTAAATGGTATGAATGCGCTATTTCGTGCGGGTTTTTTTTTTTTTTTGGAAAAAAATAAAAATTTGATTAATTGTAATTTTTAATATTTTAACAAAAATTAAAAAATTCAAATGATCAAATTCCATTCAAATCTGCGCTAATATTTAAATGGTATGAATGCGCTATTTCGTGCGGGTTTTTTTTTTTTTTTTGGAAAAAAATAAAAATTCGATTAAATGGTAATTTTAAAGTTGTGACAAAACTTCAAATCAAAATCGCACCAAAGGTATGAACGACAATTTTAAAGGAATTTGATCGTGTGAACTGATACTAATGTAACGTAAAAATCCAAATCCTTAATGCCTATTAATAGCAACTGAATTGGAATAAATAAGTGTGGAAACACAACGCATATCTGTCAGTATTATTGTGTGTTCCCGAATGACACAGCGAAACCTCAAATCTGTTGTCTCAAATGTTAGACTTGTCTATGGATATATTTGACCGGCTGATTGAAAACAAAGTTGCATAATTTTTCTCATTTCATCCCAATGTTTTTTTAGATACAAAAATGTGATTTATTTCTAGCATAATTTTACCATAATTATCGCTAAAAAAACTCATATATGTAACTTCTCTAGTGAATTTTAGTGGCCATTTTGTACACAGAGAGGACGATATAACGTGAGGGCTATATGAGCCAAGTCATCCTATCTTACAATAAATGGGTTTGCGGCTAGGCCACAGGTCTTAGGCCCAAAATTAATGGTTTTCAAAGGTTGAGGTAAGGCGTGGGGACAAGAGTAAAATCTTGTTTTATCTTCATCAGTTGTTTTGCTAGTAAGATTATTTCATATACCAAAAGGGCACAGATTTATGCTAAAAAAATCAATCTATTTGACACAAAAGAAACTCCTGTTGTTAGACTTATGTGGCTGGGACATGGCAGGACAATGCCTTGCAAGAATCAATATATAGAGTAACATTTTTTGTGCATATTATCTGTTAGCTGAGTCCGGGTAATTTCGCGCGTCGCGTTATTTGAATGTACCAACTTTATTCTTAACATTCACTGACTGTTTCATATATTATTAAATTGACTTTTTTTGGGGACCCAGCCATTGCTCTTTATTGGTCCCGGCAAATACGTTACAGGCATGCCTCTTTTGCTAAGCATCGCCGTAAACCAGAGTATCAATGTGGATGGCTGGAAGAACCACTGTTAACGCCAAATCTTTAGGGCGGAGCACTCGGCTAGTAAGTGCTCGACTTTCTACGGCGCCTGTCCACAGTGACGGCAGTTCTGGTCCCGAATCGGATGTAACCTATTCAGGTAGCTCCGGGTTAGGGCAGTGCTCTGTCCACATTGTGTTACGAGGCGTTGGTGGTGGCGTTGAAGACGTCACCTGTGAGCGTCTTCTCTATTTGGTCTGGGCATAGTGACGCCATGGCCAACGAACGTGTACTTGGTTCTCATTTACTTGTCCTTGTATTTTGTCTACTTCAATTTCTTTTCAAAGTTTTTAGTTTGATGTTAAATGTCCTCGTATTCAATCCCTTCTTGGGTTTGTTCATTTGGAGTTTTAGGTAATGAGCAAGCGTTTCCAAGTAAAAAATAATATTCTATACAGTTTAATGTCACATTTTTTATAATTTTTATACATTTAAAAACATGTTTAAACCTAAATACCTTATAAACAAAATTGTATCTAAAAACAATGAAATTCTTGTCAGTATATAAAGATATCTGTTAGGACACTTAGTCCAATATGCAGTGTCTGTTTATTGTATGGTGTTGACAAAAGTGTTAAAGCGCTGTTGCTGAAGATCAAACAAGTATTAAGCAAACAAAGCAAATGCGGATAATTTCAATTTTACTTTGTCTTCCGATTACTTGATATCAATTTATATTTTTGATTCCGAACATCGTGATGTGTGTCCCACTACTTATTATTTACAGGGAATAGTGAATTTAGTCAGATAAGACATTGGTTGTCATATGTGCTGCTACGAGCATGCGTTATGTTATATGACAAACACTAAATGTCATATGACACACACGTAATACCATAGGACACACACGTCACGTCATTTAACACACACAATTTATCTCAACACAGCAATATTACGACGATTTGTATCATCTTTTTGGCGTATCTATTAAATTATTTCAACATAGTTGTTGCATTGCTCGCTAAATAAGTTTTAAAAATAACGATCAATAACTGGTATCCCAGGCCAATCACATACTCATAAACAAAACTAACTTCGGATCTTCTTTCAAAATAAATAAATAATAAATAACAGGTATCCCTGCCCTCTCACATACTCCCACATCCACAATCGCACAGACGCACCCAGAGATTGTCGGCCTTTCTGATCCACGAATTACTTTGAAATGAACAGACGTACACTTATCACCAAGTTCATCATGTTGTGCATATGATGTATTGTATCATTCCGTGTAGCTATCAGTACATTGTATACTAAATACAGCTAACAAAAACGGTAGTAAATTGGTGGCAAGAGATTTTAATGAAATTTATAAATATTTCAAACTTTATTTAACAGTTTCTAAAATATGTACTTCACTTTGGAATTTAACACAAGACTTTAATATTTGGGTTAGATCAGCTTAGTAAAGTTAAATTTGTCACAACAAGTGGCCATCTGATTCAACTTGTTTCCCTTCCTGGAAGTTAAGATGTGATTATGCCATTGTATTAACCAAAAAAAAATTATTTTGTTCCACATTGAAAAACAAAATTTAATTAGAAAGTAGTACAACAGATAAATATCAGGAATGAGTAAATATGAGAAGAGCGAGAATAAAGTGTAACATGTCATCCCAATGACTTATATCAACACAAAACAGAATGAGTTAGAGATTGTATTTACCTATGGGTTCTTATGATGTGCAGCTATAACAAGCAATGTTACCATTGTAGCAATAACACTTCTCACAATCTTCAGATGGCACGTCATCTCCTTCATGGTATTCCTAAAATAACAACAATTCCCATTCTGCATCAGTTAATTCTAAAATAGTCAATGATAATGTATTATAGTTTTTTAGTTGGGTTCATTTATTAGCTTTTTAATACTGAAACATATATTAACTTAATTTGAAAGCCAATCAAATTATCAGTAACTTATTTTGATTGATACATTCAAACAAGTCATAACCAAGAAAGATAATATAACTGATAATGTAATAAAATAACTTTATCGTTTGCTTCCTTTAAATTACAAACTTATCTTCTTTTTATATTTAAATAAAGACCGCCAGAAGGCCAAAATTGCTCAATATCTTGCTTCTATCAGGGGCAATGTTTCTATGTAGAACTGTGTGATTTGTATTTTATCTTCTCACAGGCTCTAATTCTCTTTAATAATTTAATTTGAATAATTTCTAGGTCTGATTTGACAGACCAAACCCCAGTCCTGACAAAAGATTTAATTTGACAAACCAAACACCAGCCCTGACATCAGATTTGATTTGACAGACAAAACACCAGCACTGACAACATATTTAATTTGACAAACCAAACACCAGCCTTGACATCAGATTTAACTGGACAAATCAAACACCAGCCATGACAACATATTTAATTTGACAGACCAAACACCAGCCCTGACAACATATTTTATTTGACAGACCAAACACCAGCCCTGACAACTTTTTTATTTGACAGACCAAACACCAGCCCGGACAACATATTTAATTTGAAAGACCAAACACCAGTCCTGACGAGATATTTAATTGACAGACCAAACACAAGCCTTGATAACAGACTTAATTTTATAGACCAAACACCAGCCCTGGCAACAGATTTTATTTTACAGACCAAACACCAGTTCTGACAACAGATTTAATTTGACAGACCAAACACCAGTTCTGACAACAGATTTAATTTGACAGACCAAACACCATCACTGACAACAGAATTGATAAAAGATCCTGAACAAAAGTTTGAACCCATTCCTGTACCAAACCCTGACCCCAAAGTTTAACCCAGCCCTTACACAAAGCCCTAAACTCAGGCTTGAACCCAGTTCTGACCCCAGCTTTGACCACAGACCTTACCCAGGCCCTGACCCATGCCTTAAACCAACCCTTCGCTTCACATTTTCAAACTTACTTGTCCATCGAGCTGACACTTAAGTGGTGTACGTTGACACCTCATCAATGTGCACACAATTCCTGTACCGTAACAGCTACAGTTATTACAGGCGTCAACTTGAATGCTACTATTTTAGAAGTAATCGTGACATGTGCTCTTCTATAGTGTGATTAAAAGTGTGTGTATCCTATACAGAGGCGTAGCTAGAGTGTTTTGCGCCCGGGGACAAGATTCGCGACCGGGGACAAGATTCACTGTAAAGCGCCCCCTTTTCTATTTTCATCTCTTAAACCCATTATTTTCATCAATAAAAAAATATCAAAGCACATTTTGGCGCCCCTCACTAGCTGGCGCCCAGGGACATATGTCCCCCCCTCCTGCATCCCCTTCGCTACGCCTCTGATCCTATACACAAAAATAATTATTGTTCTGATAATGTTTTCAAACTAAAAAATCTAAAACATACTTTGTTCACAAAATGACTGAGATGACGAGCCACCGATCTCTTTCAAGGTTTACACTTGCATTGTGACTTCGGCTGCTTTTAAAGATAACAGATCCCTATCCCTCACACCCCCAACTCTTCCAGCTGTTGTTTTTATCAAACAGTTACGGAACATTAAACAACATGGTCATTTGAAACGTAGAAGCTCATCCAATAGTTGCCTTGAAGTTGGCATAAATCTAGATGGCCCCAATGGGAAAACCTTGAGATATGTGCATATTTTATCAACATGTTCAATGCATATAGTGCAACTTGACGTCCACACTCACAGAAGCAAGTATTCACACATGAAAGCATCGCTTATAATTGAGAAGGCCGTATGTAAATAGTGTACTAAAGTATGACTCAAAATATTATTTGTTTACTTTATGAATTATGTATATTGTTGGCACTCTTTATTTTGGAGAACATAATAATCTGAGTTTAATCATTTTCTCTGGTTGCTTTTGAATAAATCATCATGTATAAATAAAATGGCTCTATTTTTAATTTATACTTTTATATTTACACAATGAAAAACGACTTCTGCACTATTTTCAAGAATATTATTTGTATCTATTTTTGGGAACCTTTGAGTCACACGCTATTTCGTTCAGTGGTTCTCAAATTTAAATTTAATGTTAATATTTTTTTTTTAAAGTACGACAGAAACAAAGACACATAAACACCGATAGACCGTCATAGACACATACAAACAGACATGCACACACACATAATATGTCATTTCTACTATAGTAGCTACAACTCACTGAACAATATAAATGTATTATGAACTCTGAAAAGTGTGTTACAATGAAGTTAATAAAAGGTAACAGGCTTCGAATATCTGATGTTGATGTACATTGATCGTTTGAGGGTTCGAATATCTGATGTTGATGTACATTGATCGTTTGACGGTTCGAATATCTGATGTTGATGTACATTGATCGTTTGAGGGTTCGAATATCTGATGTTGATGTACATTGATCGTTTGACGGTTCGAATATCTGATGTTGATGTACATTGATCGTTTGAGGGTTCGAATATCTGATGTTGATGTACATTGATCGTTTGACGGTTCGAATATCTGATGTTGATGTACATTGATCGTTTGAGGGTTCGAATATCTGATGTTGATGTACATTGATCGTTTGACGGTTCGAATATCTGATGTTGATGTACATTGATCGTTTGAGGGTTCGAATATCTGATGTTGATGTACATTGATCGTTTGAGGGTTCGAATATCTGATGTTGATGTACATTGATCGTTTGACGGTTCGAATATCTGATGTTGATGTACATTGATCGTTTGACGGTTCGAATATCTGATGTTGATGTACATTGATCGTTTGAGGGTTCGAATATCTGATGTTGATGTACATTGATCGTTTGAGGGTTCGAATATCTGATGTTGATGTACATTGATCGTTTGAGGGTTCGAATATCTGATGTTGATGTACATTGATCGTTTGACGGTTCAAATATCTGATGTTGATGTACATTGATCGTTTGAGGGTTCGAATATCTGATGTTGATGTACATTGATCGTTTGACGGTTCGAATATCTGATGTTGATGTACATTGATCGTTTGACGGTTCAAATATCTGATGTTGATGTACATTGATCGTTTGAGGGTTCGAATATCTGATGTTGATGTACATTGATCGTTTGAGGGTTCGAATATCTGATGTTGATGTACATTGATCGTTTGACGGTTCAAATATCTGATGTTGATGTACATTGATCGTTTGAGGGTTCGAATATCTGATGTTGATGTACATTGATCGTTTGACGGTTCGAATATCTGATGTTGATGTACATTGATCGTTTGACGGTTCGAATTTTATTTTGCAAGTTTCAATTCTATCATATGTACTGATATTTTTGAGACACGAACTATGTTTTAGCAGCGGTTCTAAATATCTCTAAATAATTTGAGTATAGTTACAAAGACACCTCCTTCTGGAGACACAGTTGCAGACACATCTATAAAATCACATGAAATCTCTTGCAAATAAACTGTAAGCCAATAAATATATAATTAAGATAAGATTCTTTTATTGATACAAATGAACTGAATTAGTTTTGATTGAAATGGTAATATTGATTATCGACATGTGGAAAAAACAAGATTAAGATAAAAACAATTTTGTACTAAAACTTTAAAGGTACACATTTTTACACAAGAAAGCTTATTTAAAATAATGTCCAGGAACAGAATCATGGACGGAAAGGTTCTACCCTCTATGAACATTTTCCACCAGCGTAACAGGGCGAACGAGACAACTTGTGTTAGCATCACATCACATACAAGACAGCTGGTGTTACCGTCACAAGACAACTAGTGTTACCGTCACATTATGTACAAGACATCTAGTGTTACCGTCACATTATGTACAAGACAACTAGTGTCACCGTCACATTATGTACAAGACAACTAGTGTTACCGTCATATTATGTACAAGACAACTAGTGTTAGTATCACATCACATACAAGACAATTATTGTTAGCAATTTAAACTTATGAAAAAAGACAAATTTCTCCAGTTGTATAAAAGACTTTTTGATTAAAAACTGAATAACAGCTGCATATAAAATAATTTTGAAACGATTCATTAGATTTGTGATACGCTTTAGTACTATGTAATAATTGTTTGATGAAAATGTACTTGATGTCAAGTTTGGCTAAACAAAAAGGTGTGGAACAAACTTTTAAAGCTATCTATTATATAGCTAGATAATTTTCCCACGATTAAATAATTCCACGAGCAATCAGGTTTGTATGAAATAAAAAATACTTTAAATGTAATTTGTAAGGCAAATGATTATTTTATTTTATTTTTTATTTAATTTTAGCTTCATGGTCATATTCCTTGCTGCACAGAGTCTTACTCACAAGATATGTTAATTATATATCGCATCATATTTTGTATAAGTGCTAGAGCCAAAACAAAACTTTGAGAACTATGTACTGTTCTCTTCCATAAACAAATAATACATTCTGATGACTTCAGCAAGAATTTAAGTATTTTCCTAATGATATCCTTTTATCTGTGTGTGAACTTTAAACATAATTTCTACTGGGATGTTACCATGTGATTATCACAGTAGCTAAACCTCGTCAAATGTGAGTAAAGAAACAACAGCTGGGAGGTCCAAGGACAATGCGGGGGGGGGGAGAGAAGTGATAGAAAGGGTAGGGTAGATGGGATAACTTTAAAAGGCTGGAGTCTTGTAGGTATTAAAACAGATCGCTCGTTTGTCATCTCTGAGGATTAAACATAAGTTCTACTGGGATGTTACCATGCGATTAACACAGTAGCTAAACCACGTCAAATGGGAGTAAAGAAACAACAGCTGGGAGGTCCAAGGACAATGCGGGGGGGGGGGAGAGAAGTGATAGAAAGGGTAGGGTAGATGGGATAACTTTAAAAGGCTGGAGTCTTGTAGGTATTAAAACAGATCGCTCGTTTGTCATCTCTGAGGTTGTTGTTCTCTAAGGTTTGTCATCTCTGAAGCTGTGGCCATTAAGTTTTGTCATCTCTGTAGCTGTGGTCACTACGTTTTGTCATTTCTGAAGCTGTAGTCACTAAGTTTTGTCATCTCTGAGGTTGTATTTCACTAAGGTCTGTCATGTTTGAAGTTGTGGTCACTAAGTTTAGTCATCTTTGAAGCTGTGGTCACTATTTTTTGTCATCTCTGTAGCTGTGGTCACCAAGTTTTGTCATCTCTGAAGCTGTGGTCACTAAGTCTTGTCATCTGTGAAGCTGTGGTCACTAAGTTTTTTCATCTCTGAAGCTGTGGTCACTAAGTTTTGTCATCTCTGAGGTTGTATTTCACTCAGGTCTGTCATGTTTGAGGTTGTGGTCAGTTTAGTCATCTTTGAAGCTGTGGTCACTATTTTTTGTCATCTCTTAGACTGTGGTCATTAGTTTCTTGTGTGAAGAATCTAATATAAACTTTTTATATAGTTTATGAGATAAATAAAAAAAACTTTTAACAGATCACATTTCTCTTATAAGAGAATCATCATTTTTCATTGTTATTTTCAAAAGTTTTTCCTAAAATAATAATAATATTAGCCAAAAACGTGATAAAAATGATATAAGAGTAGAATTAAACCTCACATAATTCTTTCTTCAGATTTCTTGACTGGGGAGGGAAGTCAAATATATGCGTAAAGTTTTCACATTTCTTTTTGATTAATTTCTTGACTTCAATTATTTTTTTTTTATTTGTTACAAAACAAGTTACAAGGATAATTTGTAATTGTAAAAAGATTCAAATTATTTTATAGTTACATTTAAATTATTTTAAAAAAAAAACGTAGAGGTTGTATATTGAATTTATTGTATATCTGTCATGCAATTTGAACATATAAACGACTTGTTTATTCCTTTTTTATAAGATACTCTCTATACGACAGTTAAATAATACAACTTATGTTTTCTTTTATATTGCAGAAATTAAAATGAAATTTATTCCTACAACCTTTGCCTTGTTGGTCTGTTGCATCAGTGCTGTCTTTGGACAGTTAAAAGACGATATTGAGCCAGTCTGTCTCATCAATGGTGAGGTGAGTAGTGAATAAGCTGTTCTTGTATTTTGTGATATCAGAAGTAAAAAGCTGTCTTCTAAAATAGTGATGTGAATAATTTGTCTTGTAAAGTGTGTGGTAAGTAGTAAATAATAAGCTGCGTGCTTTCAATAATAACCACAGTTTTTCCAATTATTTTGAGTTGCTAATATTATCATACGGGGTATTATCATTAGTTAAGGCTTCATTAATCTCATTTTGTCAATTTATGTACCGTTTTGTCGTTATTTTAAAATGTTAACATTATTTCTGTGCTTTTGTGAATAGCTGAGCAATATCAACAATATTCAATAATTTATTAAAATGTACAGTAACTATCATCAGTACAAACCCTAGTCAGAAAATGGCGTCGATACAAATTCAATTAGAAAATTTCATAAATACAAAAAAGAAAAAAAAATCTGATAAATCGTGCTTCGCGTACTACTTTGTTACATTCCAACATGACCATGATGTTTCTGTTTAAGCGCTTCAACCAAGGACAGTTTGTCGGGGATCTTCTTGATGGATGTAACAACTGTTTCTGTGGACGTTATGGGTTTGGATGTACGTTAATGTTATGTCTAGATTACCAGCCACTGGATTGTGAGATTCAAGGACAGGTAAAGACACGTGTCTATCATTTGGCACTGACATGTTTTATTTCAACTACATAAATACTTTTAACTTTCAACACATCTTACACATCTGAGTTATTTTGTAAAATTATTCCAGCGTTTAATGACGTTTTCGTTGCTTTTAAGTTTTATAAAATTATAGAAGGAAAACATTTGACATCACGTACTTCTCTAAGATCTCATTTATTTATGTTGTCAGCTAAATATTTTTAACAGCACTACAAATACTATGACATCACATACTCCTTTAAGACATGATTTATCTTTGTTGTCAATAAAATGTATTTAACAGCACTACAACCATGACGCCAGCGTCCCATCTGATGTGTGCGGGGAATGTCATTGTTTGAATGGCAACCTGGCATGCACCAACTGCCCAGCTTTAAATATGGCAAGTCTTTTATTTGCAGCAAGCCTAAATTATTCCTTAACATATAATTTACAGTATATGATATATATATATATATATATATATATATATATACATAAAAATCATATTGTTTATTGCAACTTATTTAGTAATGAGGTACCAACTTCCATATAAAACAAAACATCGGTAGTTCTAAATTGATGACTGCAAGATGGCGTTTCCTAAATGTAACTTTTGTCACAAGATGACTATGTCTTTTGCATTACTCTCTACCCAGTTAGCTTTACTTTTTAAACCAAACTACAGAATTTAATTTCATGAACAATGCTAATGGGTATACTAATTATTCACTAATTACTTTTTATTCATGTTGACAATTTATCAATTACTTGTTGGTATATTATATATCATTTGTTTGTAATGTAAACAGAACGCTAGCATCTTGTGAGGTGTTATAAATGTTTACATCCTTCACAGATTTTTAAGTGATGTTGAGGGAAACGTAATAGTTGATGACATCATCATGGGAATATAAACTGAAATACTCTCGTAATCGCAATGTATTTTTATTTAATAAGTGTTTGGCAACAGTTGAATTAATGGAGTCTTATAATAAAGTTGGAAAACATATTGTCTTGTTGATTAAATTTATTACAATGTATGGATATTAACTATGTGAAAGGAGGTATCTCTTATACATATTTTGCTTCTGGTTTGCCCTTCTTACTTTTTGAAATTCTCCTCCCGGAAATGTCGCTGTATTGAGAAGCCATTCACTAATAATCTAAATGCAATGTGTTGCATAACTTGATGTATCGTATTATTGCGCGTAGCAATCATTGTTTTGTTTACCAAAAACAGTTAATGAACTCGGTTATACACTTCTGACTAAACATTTTAATCTAATCTATATCTATATATATACATATCTTTCAAACGTGATAATTGTGTTTCCAAAACATTTACTTTAGGTAGGAATTTGACATAATACTTAAGCATAGGGGGTTATTAGAAAACTGAAGAAACTCAGTGTAACAACCAGAGGCAATCGTCTATTTGGTTTCCATTCTAGAAATAAATAATTGATTATGTCATTGTAATGTAAAAATAAAATGGTTTGTAACACCTGGAAAACAAAATTAAATTATCAAGTAGTAGAAGGTATAAATATAAGAAGCTCTGGAAAAAGTAAATAAGAAAAAGTAGTGCAAATATAAATAAGAAAAAGTATTACAACAGATAAATAAGAGAAAGTAGTACAGCATAATAATATAACAAAGCAGTACAGCCGATAAGTAAGACTAAATAGTACAACATAAAATTAAGAGAAAGTATAGTAAAACATAGACATATGAGGAGTTAGAGATTAAAGTGCATCATATTATGACAATGACTTTAATTAAACCAAATGAGGATGTGTTAGAGATTATACTTACATGGCAGTTCTTAAAGTTTGCAGCTATGGCAAACAACGTTACCATTGCTGCAGTCACATTTCTCACATTCTTCAGATGGGATATCAGCCCCTTCCTTGTATTCCTTGTTAATGTTAAGACAGGCCCGTCAAACTGCTAAACTTGTCAATGTTAAGACAGGCGCGTCAAACTGCTAAACTTGTCAATGTTAAGACAGGCCCGTCAAACTGCCAAACTTGTCAATGTTAAGACAGGCCCGTCAAACTGCCAAACTTGTCAATGTTAAGACAGGCCCGTCAAACTGCCAAACTTGTCAATGTTAAGACAGGCCCGTCAAACTGCCAAACTTGCCAACGTTAAGACAGGCCCGTCAAACTGCCCAACTTGTCAATGTTAAGACAGGCCCGTCAAACTGCTAAACTTGTCAATGTTAAGACAGGCCCGTCAAACTGCCAAACTTGTCAATGTTAAGACAGGCCCGTCAAACTGCCAAACTTGTCAATGTTAAGACAGGCCCGTCAAACTGCTAAACTTGTCAATGTTAAGACAGGCCCGTCAAACTGCCAAACTTGTCAATGTTAAGACAGGCCCGTCAAACTGCCAAACTTGCCAACGTTAAGACAGGCCCGTCAAACTGCCCAACTTGTCAATGTTAAGACAGGCCCGTCAAACTGCTAAACTTGTCAATGTTAAGACAGGCCCGTCAAACTGCCAAACTTGTCAATGTTAAGGCAGGCCCGTCAAACTGCCAAACTTGTAAATGTTAAGACAGGCCCGTCAAACTGCTAAACTTGCCAATGTTAAGACTGGTCCGTCAAATTGCCAAACTTGTCAATGTTAAGACTGGCCTGTCAAACTGCCATACTTGTCAATGTTAAGACAGGCCCGTCAAACTGCCACACTTGTCAATGTTTAAGACTGTTTAAGACTGGCACGTAAGACTGCTAGAATTGTCAAAGTTTTAAGACTGGCTCATGAAATTGTCGCACATATCAATGTTTAAGACTGGACTGTCAAACTGCCAAACTTGCTAGCAATCTAATTTCTTAAAGTGACCGTATCGTCGATTAACCTATTCCGTGTTCAGGAACAAACTGTTGCAACGTTTCAATGTATAAATTTCAGTCCATTTTATTATTTTCTCATTCTCTCCAATTCAATTTATTCTGACTGGCCTATTTCAGGGCCTCATTTCTAGGCAGCTAATTTCTTATATTATTCAACAATTTTACTAATTTCTAAGTTGAATTTACCAGACCAAGCCGCACACCTGACACCAGACTTGACCCCAGCTTTGAACCCAGCAGTGACCCCAGACTTGACCCCAGCCTTGAACCCAGCAGTCACCCCAGATTTGACCCCAGCTTTGAACCCAGCAGTGACCCCAGACTTGACCCCAGCTTTGAGCCCAGCAGTGACCCCAGACTTGACCACAGCTTTAAACCCAGCAGTGACCCCAGACTTGACCCCAGCTTTGAACCCAGCAGTGACCCCAGACTTGACCCCAGCTTTGAACCCAGCCGTGACCCCAGACTTAACCCCAGCTTTGAACCCAGCAGTGACCTCAGAGTTGACCCCAGCTTTGAACCCAGCAGTGACCCCAGACTTGAACCCAGCTTTGAACCCAGCGGTGACCTCAGAGTTGACCCCAGCTTTGAACCCAACAGTGACCAAAGGCTTGACCCCAGCTTTGAACCCAGCAGTGACCAAAGGCTTGACCCCAGCTTTGAACCCAGCAGTGACCAAAGGCTTGACCCCAGCTTTGAACCCAGCAGTGACCAAAGGCTTGACCGCCGCCCTAAACTAAACTCCGAATCCAGGTAGTGCGGAGGCGGTTCTTTACCCCAGCCCTAACCGCAGCTGTGACCTAAGCCCAGATCCCAGCCATGAGCCAAGCCCTGACTCAAGCCCTGACCACACATGGACATAACGTTCTTTGCACTTACTTGTCCACTAGGCTTACATTTATCTGATGTGGGTCGACCCGGCCCATTGGTACAAGAAATGCTTGTCCCCAGACGGCGACAGTAGTTACAGCCGTCGACTTTCCAATCTAAATATTCATCCTTGCGGTAGTTCTGAATTATGGTGGGATGGAAATATCATTGTTGTTGGGATAGAAAGTATATTGTTAGTCGGATAGAAAAAAATATTGTTGATGGGATATACATAATATTTTTGGTGGGATAGAAAGTATATTGTTTGTCGGATAGAAAGAATATTGTTGGTGGGATAGAAATAACATTGTTGGTGGGATAGAAATAACAACGTTGGTCGGAAGTAAATAATATTGTTGATGGGAGAGACATAATATTGTTGTTTGGTTAGAAATCATATTGTTGATCGGAGAGACATACTATTGTTGGTTGGTTAGAAATAAAATTGCTGTGGGATATAAATAATATTGTTGTTGGGATAGAAATGTGGTTAATAATGGGATAGAAATAATATCGCTCTGGGTATATTAAAAAAAATGATGTCATATTTATAAGGCACTTTTCGGCTCATTGGCTTTGTTGATTCTCACACTACAATAGAAGGGCACTATTTATATGGTTCATTGGCTTTGTTGATTCTCACACTACAATAGAAGGGCACTATTTATATGGTTCATTGGCTTTGTTGATTCTCACACTACAATAGAAGGGCACTATTTATATGGCTCATTGGCTTTGTTGATTCTCACACTACAATAGAAGGGCACTATTTATATGGCTCATTGGCTTTGTTGATTCTCACACTACAATAGAAGGGCACTATTTATATGGCTCATTGGCTTTGTTGATTCTCACACTACAATAGAAGGGCACTATTTATATTCCATACATCACCTTGAACGAAATGGTTATTTAATACTCTAATTTCCATCGACAAACTAAATTATGTATTACCCACCTAAACCATTGACAAGACAAAGTATGTTATACTCACACGTTCATTAATCTTACAGTAATAACCAACATAGTCGCAGTCTCCCAAGAAAATATTGATGCAGCAGATAAACAAGACAACATAGTGAAGAAACTCTTTCATCTTGATAAACTGTAAAACAATGACTACATTTATTTAATGTTATTAGAATAAATAATTATTAAATAAACACTCACAAAGATTACAAATATAAAGTACAAAAAGGTAAAGTTCGATCAGTGATAGAGTGAATGTTATTTTTTTAAAATTCTTTGATGTGATCGTCACATGTCGATTTTTTTTAATAGCAAGTGCTGAAACTTTTATTTATACAAAAATCAATGAATAGGTTAATGTTGTTAAATTAACAATCCTACAAAACCTCGGGCTCTTCTCAGAATTACCAAGATGACCAGGCAGCGATCCCCTTTCTAGGTTTACACGGCCACAGATACTTCGGCGGTTTTTATAGATAACATATCTAGCGACCCCACCTATTGCAGCCGATGTGTTTACAGGCCATTAAACAATACGAACATTACTCACTTTAAAGCTCATCAAAAAAGTTACTGTAAAGTTGTCACAAACATGGACAGCTCTAATGGTAAAAACCCTGACACATTTACAAATTTTACAAACATTCAAGCTTTTTAACAGTCCACCTGTTACTTAATTGTAAAATTCGAAAATTACATTTAGAAATAAAATTAATCGAATTAATATAACTTTTAGAGACAACACTATCCACAAATGACATCACCATCCACAAATGACAACACCATCTACAAATGACATCACCATCCACAAATGTCATCACCATCCATAAATGACATCACCATCCACAAATGACATCACCATCCACAAATGACAACACCATCTACAAATGACATCACCATCCACAAATGTCATCACCATCCACAAATGACATCACCATCCACAAATGACATCACCATCTCTAAGAGAAATGACATCTTTAAGTGAAAACACAATTTCCAAGTGACAACCATATCTCTAAGTGACACCATGATCTGAATCGACACCACCTTATCTAAGTTATACCACCATCTCCAATTGACACCACCATCTCTAGTGACGCCAACATCTCTAAATGACAGCACCATCCCTTGTGACACCACCATCTTAACCGAAATCAACATCCTTAGCAAAACCATCATCTCTGACACCCCTAAATCTAGTAACACCAACATCTGTAAGTGACACCCTCATCTCTAGCGACACAAACATCTTAAGTGACAGCACAATGTCCAAGCATCACTACCATCTCCAAGTGACACCACCATCTT